TAAACTGCTTAGAGAGGGCTGTAAAGCACTGTGAAGCGGTATATAAGTCTAAGTCAGTGGTTCTCAACCTTTTTAATGCCGCGACCCCCAACCGGTCATAAGTCGGGGACTACTCAACCAGTCGTAAGTCGAGGACTACTCAACTGATGCAGCACCGTTTGCAGACTGGGACTTTTGGCGGGCTCAGCAGGGCAGAGACAGCCTGGACAATTCCTATTGGCTTTTGAAAGCCAATAGAATTAGACTCTATTCAAGAGAGTCTATTCTATTGGCTTTCAAAAGCCAATAGAATAAAAGGGAGTAGCACAGCTGAGGGGAAAAAAATGGCGGACTGCGTTGTTTGGCGACCCCCGTGAAATGGCCGTTCGACCCCAAATGGGGTCCCGACCCACAGGTTGAGAACCACTGGTCTAAGTGCTATTGCTATGCTATTTAACATGTCTCACTGAGCTAATCCTGTCATGCTCAAAGAAAGTGCACTCAGGGTTGATTTGCAACGAGAAAGGGAGCAACAGTCTGCCCATTATTTGTATGACAACATTCCAAAAATCACGTGACCCCGGACGCTGCCACCGTTGTGAATAACATCCCAGTGGCGCCCACATTTCAATCACATGACCATGGGGATGCTGCAATGGTTGTACGTGTGGGTACTGATTGGATATCACTTTTTTCCCACGCTGTTGTGACTCTGAATGCTCGCTAAACAAATGCTTGTAAATCGAGGACTTCCGCTATCAAAATAATCATAATGATAGGAGTCTCTGGTGATTCTCCGTCCTCCAGGTCACGTTTGTCCGAAAGATGCTTTTTCAAAAAGCAACTGAACTTTCTTTGTTTTTCTTTGAAGAGATTTCGCTTCTCATCTAAGAAGCTTCTTCGGTTTATTTTGCATATGAGTAGATTTTAGATAATTATTAATAGTTTTAATTATATTATTATTTTCGTTTTTGATTTGTTAATATTTGCTTTGAAAAGGAGTTAAAAGTGTGTTATGGTTTTGATTGATAGTATAGTTGGTTAATGTTAGTTAGATTATGCTTGTTTATTTGTTACCCTGTAATCAGCTCTGGGAAGTGGGGGAGGGGTGGGATTGGGTGGGAGGGGTTTATATTGTAATTTGTAAAACTTTTAATAAAAAAAAAAAAGAAGCTTCTTTGGTTCTTCTTCAGTTCCCTTCTCCACCATTCAGTCAGAACCGAAGAAGCTTCTCGGATGAGAAGCAAAACGTCCTCAAGGCAAAACAATTGCCTCTTGAAAAAGCACCTTTGGGACACACAGCGATAGGAAGAGACCCATCTCTTTTATCTCATGTTTATCCAGGTTTTTGTCTCTCTCTCTCTCTGCGCAATTAGGCACCAAATGAACTTTTTTTTTTTTTTTTTTTTTGCTTTATTCCTATAAAGATGGAAGCCAATAAGCCTGGAACAATCTGTTCCTGGAGTGCCGGGAGAGCAGCTTTGAAGCCAGGGCGCTAAGAAAGCCACGTCTCAACCTCATTTAATGTAGAAATATTACCCCCTCCTTAAGACTGACGTTTTAAGAGGGTCCTCAGGCTGATCCCTTTCCTTAAAGGTCCTCAAAATGCAGGCGGCTTCTGGACAGCTTCACTTTGCAACTGACAATCCCGCCCCAGGTGAAACAAGTTATAGGGGCTCCGGGTTCCTCCTAGCTGCTGCCTTGATCAAGCTTTTTTTTTTTTTTTTTGGCCTGTTTTCTGCTAAAGCAGGATCATTCCCACCCCCACCCCCACCCCAGACCTTTTTTCCTTCTCCCCACTTCGGTATCCGGCCTGGCTTTTCCTAAAATGACACGAACCCTGTCAATTTTTTTAAAGCCAGTGCTTTGGATTTTGATCAGGAAGCAAGCCGCCGGAGGGGAGGCAAAAATAAAATAAAATTCGCAGGGCCAGTTCCTTCCATAAATTTAATGGCTCTTTAAGCTTGCAATCCTCTTTTTTTCCAGGACTTTGGAGGCATCTGGAGGTCTCCTTTTAGAGCCCGGGTGTGCCCCCCCTCCCCGTAAAAAGGAAACCAGGCCTGGATTTACCAGGGTCAGACCGATTTGCGGAAGATTCTGGAAGACTTTCTGACTCTCGGCTGATGGACGGTAGCAAATAAATAACGATCAGCTGACAAATTGGGGGGGGGAAACCCCTCAGGAACAGATTTTTCCTCTGTGAAAAGATTTCAGGCTTAAGTTGGGGATGGAAAAACACAGCCCCCCCCTCCTTCTTCATTGTCCTTGGCTCCAGTTGGGTGCCTCATGAAGTATAGCAAGAATTAGACTACAATTAGACTACAATTGAGCCTAAGCGAGACAGTTGTTAAGTGAGTTTTGCCCCATTTTATGACCCTTTTTGCCACGGTTGTTAAGTGAATCACTGCAGTTGTTAAGTGAGTCACACGGCTGTGAAGTGAATCTGGGTTCCCCAACTGACTTTCCTTGTCAGAAAGGCCGCAAAGGGGGAATCACAAGACCGCAGGACACTGCAACTGTCATAAGTACATGCCAGTTGCCAAGCATTTGAATTTTGATCATGTGACCATGGGGATGCGGCAATGGACGTAAGTGTGAAAACCGGTCATAAGTCCCTTTTTAAAGTGCGGTTGTAACTTTGAACAGTCACTAAATGAATGGTTGTAAGTCAAGGACTACCTATAAGAAAAACAAAGGAATTCTGTTTTTTTGGGTGGATCGTGCAGGGTGAAAGTGAAGGAAAGCCGCCTCAGGCCCAGCTCTGGAATCTGACAGGAGAAACATTTTCAAAATTTTCTTTCTCACTCCGAATTTGCTGAGTCCTGACCGACTCAGGGTCGACTCAGCCTTCCATCCTTCCAAGATCGGTAAAATGAGGACCCAGATTATTAGGGGCAAGATACTGATTCTGTAAACTGCTTAGAGAGGGCTGTGAAGCAGTGTGAAGCGGTATATAAGTCTAAGCCAGTGGTTCTCAACCTTTCTAATGCCGCGACCCCATAATACAGTTCCCCATGTTGTGGTGACCCCCAACCACTTATACATCACCGGGTGCCAGGGGCGTGGCCAAAGAAAAGGGGGAAAAAATGGCGGACAGCCTTGTTTGGCGACCCCCGTGAAATGGTCGTTCGACCCCAAATGGGGTCCCGACCCACAGGTTGAGAACCACTGGTCTAAGCGCTATTGCTATTGCTATCCCAGGTCTGTCTTCATGCTAACTTTCCACAATATTTCAAGAAAGCAGCCACAGGATCCGGGAGAGAGCAACAAAGTCAAAGCTTGGACTGCATAGTTCTGGCTTCCATCTTGAGGGTTTTGACGCAAGCAAAAGAGGGTGGGGCTTCAATCATCTGGAGAGGGTGGGGCTTCAATCATTTAAGAAGGCAGGGCTTCAATCATCTGGAGAGTGGGGCTTCAATCATCTGAAGAAGGTGGGGCTTCAATCATCTAGAGAAGGTGGGGCTTCAATCATCTAGAGAAGGTGGGGCTTCAATCATCTAGAGAGGGTGGGGCTTCAATCATCTAGAGAAGGTGGGGCTTTAATCATCTGAAAAGGGTGGTGCTTCAAACACCTGGAGAGGGTGGGGCTTCAGTCACCTGGAGAGGATAGGGCTTCAAACACTGGAGAGGGTGGGGCTTCAATCATTTAGAGAAGGTGGGGCTTCAATCATCTAGAGAGGGTGGGGCTTCAATCATCTAGAGAAGGTGGGGCTTCAATCATCTGGAGAGGGTGGGGCTTCAAACACCTGGAGAGGGTGGGGCTTCAGTCACCCGGAGAGGGTAGGGCTTCAATCATCTAGAGAGGATGGGGCTTCAAACACCTGGAGAAGGTGGGGTTTCAATCATCTAAAGAAGGCGGGGCTCCAATCTTTTGCTGGTGTCAAAAACTCAAGATGGCAGCTACAATGATGTGGTCCAGGTTCTGCAGCTCTGAAGTGTGGGACTTGAACCCCATGTTCTAACTGCCATTTTGACTTTTTTGATAATTGAAAGATAACTATGGGCAAGGCAATGGACAAATCTTTTCTAATGGCTTCCATTCTAATTCCACTTCTCCCCCCCCCCACTTCCTTGTCCCTTACAAAAGGCTCCACCTTTTCTTCATGTTCAAATTGCAAGAAATTTTATATATTTATTTATTAAAGAAATGTATATGGCTGTCCAACTCACAGATAAGTGACTCTAGGCATATTACATTAAAAATCCACAACATGGCTGGCTAGGAAATTCTGGGAGCTGAAGTCCCCCCACCAAGATTAAGGAACACTATTCTAGGCAGTGCACAACATTAAAAACAATAATAACAGGTCTTGAATAGAACAATTTCTGGAGAACGTTCCTCAATCCAGAGAATCCTAGAATTATTCAGTAGTTAATTTTTAATTTTTTGAGAGCAGGTTTGATTTCTCAGCATTTTGGAGGAAATGAAACTTAACAGAATTAGACTGGATTAATAATTGGTCGGGGACGCTGAAGAGAAAATCCCAATACTGTAGCCTAGCCTGAAATGAATATTACAACAATGAAGGGCAACTATTTCCTCCAGGTTGTTGCCAAAAAATTATTTAGATTTTTCCATTAAATCAGCAGGCGTTGAACTGAATTTCAAGTAGAAATTTAATTTGGGGTTTATTTAAACTCCACTCTTGAGAGAGAACAAAAAAAAAATTTGCTTTCATTTAATTTTGGCCCAATACTGTCCTATTAAAAATTCAATGTTTAAATATGGTCAGAAGAAACAGGGGAAAAAATTATACTGTACTGCCTACAATTAATTTCTGGACTGTGCACAGCCTGCACATGTGGAAATGACCAAGACAGTTGTGGAAAAGAAAACTTCATATTTTTGAGAGTGATAATTCACAATTCACATGAGCTTGCTGGGATGAAGATGAATTGACTCTTTCAGATTTAAAGACATTCTAAAAAAACCTTACCTTGTTGATGTTTAATTTGCATCCTACATCGAATTCACAAAGCAAAAAAAGGGGGGTGGGGTTTGAGGTGAGCTACAAACCTACCTTATGATTTTGGTAGGATGTCACCGATATAAAGGAGGTTTCTGGAAAGACGTGAGTGCAAAAAGCTGTGTTCTTTGAGCCAAATGCGTTGTTTTCATCCGCTTTCACTATGTGCAACCTGGGCTGGTATTTGTGCATGGAATTAAGAATAATCTGGAGGAGGAAAAGAAGACGAGAAAAAAGAGAATTATCAATAAAAGCCTGTTCTGCTAAAAGAAATCATTGGAGCAGAGCAAAACTTAAAAACAATTGAGTTGTTGTTGTTAGTTGCGAAGTTGTGTCCGACCATCGTGGCCCCATGGACAACGTTCCTCCAGGCCTTCCTGTCCTCTACCATCTTCTGGAATCCATTTAAGCTCACTCCTAATGCTTCAGTGACTCCATCCAGCCACCTCATTCTCTGTCGTCCCCTTCTTCTCTTGCCCTCAATCTTTCCCAGCATTAGGCCCTTCTCCAGTGAGTCCTTCCTTCTCATTAGGTGGCCAAAGTACTTGAGTTTCAACTTTAGGATCTGGCCTTCTAAAGAGCAGTCAGGGTTGATCTCCTCCAGAACTGACCGGTTGGATCACCTTGAAGTCCAGGGGACTCGCAGGAGTCTTCTCCAGTACCAGAGTCCAAAGGCCTCCATTCTTTGGCGCTCAGTCTTTCTTATGGTCCAACTTTTACAGCCATACATTGCAACTGGGAAAACCATGGCCTTGATTGTACATACTTTTGTTGGCAGGGTGACATCTCTGCTTTTTAGTATGCTGTCTAGATTTGCCATAGCTTTCCTCCCCAGGAGCAAGCGTCTTTTAATTTCTTGGCTGCAGTCCCCATCTGTGGTGATCTTGGAGCCCAGGAAGATAAAATCTGTCACTACCTCCATTTCTTCCCCATCTATTTGCCAGGAACTGAGAGGGACGGATGCCATGATCTTGGTTGCATTTTATTTCAAAGAGGAAGGCAATTGTGTTGCTCTGGGATTGGTGCAACTGTGAAATCCAGTTGAGTCTAGAGGTAAAGGCACCAGGTTAGAAACCAGGAGGCAGTGAGTTCTAGTCCTGCCTTAGGAATGGAAGCCAACTGGGTGACTTTGGACCAATCACCAGGAGATGGTGAGTTCTAGTCCCACCTTGGATATGAAAGCTGGCTGGGTGACTTTGGGCCAATCACCAGGAGGGGTGAGTTCTAGTCCCACCTTAGGTATGAAAGTGTCTAAGTTTGAAAAACACTGCTGAAATTGATTCTATCCACTTCGTTGCGGGTTGTCCTCTTCTCGTCCTTTCCATCCTACCCAATGTTAGAGTCTTCTCCAGGAAGTTACTGTAGCTCTTCAAAGTAGTAGTAATAAAGTTGGAAGGGACCTTGGAGGTCATCTAGTCCAACCCCCTGCTCAGGCAGGAAACCCTACACCATTTCGGACAAATGGCTGTCCAGTCTCTTCTTAAAAACTTCCAGTGTTGGAGCCTTTACTGCTTCTGGAGGCAAGCTGTTCCACTGATTAATTGTTCTCACTGTCAGGAAGTTTCTCCTTAGTTCTAGGTTGCTTCTCTCCTTGATTAGTTTCCACCCGTTGCTTCTTGTCCTGCCTTCAGGTGCTTTGGAAAATAGCTTAATTCCCTCTTCTTTATGGCAGCCCCTGAGATATTGGAATACTGCTATCATGTCCCCCCTCGTCCTTCTCTTCGTTAAACTAGACAGACCCAATTCTAGCAACCGTTCCTTATATGTTTTAGCCTCCAGTCCCCTGATCATCTTTGTTGCTCTTCTCTGTACTCTTTCTAGAGTCTCAACATCTTTTTTACATCGTGGTGACCAAAACTGGATGCCGTATTCCAAGTATGACCTTACCAAGGTATTGAAGAGTGGTATTAATACTTCACGTGATCTTGATTCTATCCCTCTGTCACATCATGTGTCTGAAATAGGATCCATTGACCCTGGAGAATTCAAATTCTCATTGGGGAAAAAACATCCAGGAACAGCCTTTTTTCCATTTTGGGGTTTCTCTCCAGCTGACCTCTTCACTTGTTGGAGCCCACTACGAAGGTCACAAGAAAACAGAAGCTCTTTCTTTGCTGGATTGATGAGCCTGTCCATTAGGTTGGGATCCCCTTTTTAATGGCCCCTTTTTTAAAATCTGGTTGCAATGTATAACCTTACCCACAGAAGCAACTGCATCTTATACCCCCACCCGGAAATGCAGTTTTTATTGATGACATTTTCCAGATCAGGTCTTGCCCCCTCCTCTTTGAGGGAGAATGAAAAACTAGGATTTCTGAGCCTCATATGGGGGGTTTCTTTTAACTCTTTTGCTGCAACCTGGGGCTTTGACCAGAAAAAAAGAAAAGTGTGTACCATTTACAACATCGATGTTCTAGCTTCTCCTATTTGGCACCCAAAGGTCCTTCAAGGAGAACTTTACTGGGCTTTATAAATATCTTACAAAGCATTAGTTGGTAGAATTAATTTGATTACTTAAGACGCGGGCTTTCTGTGATTCAAGAGTAATAGAATAACAGAATAATAGAGTTGGAAGGGACCTTGGAAGTCTTCTAGTCCAACCCCCTGCTCAAGCAAGAGATCCTATACCTGTGGTGACGAACCTATGGCACGCGTGCCACAGGTGGCACGCAGAGCCCTCTCTGTGGGCACGCGCGCCGTCGCCTCTGTCCTAGGCCTTCAGCTGGGTTTTATAAAACTTTTTCGCTTTAGGCCTCCGCCGCCATGTACAAAAAAAAAAAGTTTCAATCAATCAATCAATTTCAACTTCTCATGGGGGAAAAAAAGATCTCGCAAAGTTGGAATTGATTGATTGAATTTTTTAGAGCCACTCAGTCTGCTGTTACCACCGCAGCCATACCCGCCCAATGGGCCATGCCCACCCAATGGGCCACACCCACCCAATGGGCCACACCCACCAATTGGGCACCCGACGATACATTTTAGGTTGCATTTTGGGCACTCGGTCTCTAAAAGGTTCACCATCATTGTCCTAGACCTATACCATTTCAGACAAGTGGTTGTCCACTTTTTAAAAAACTCCAGTGATGCACACACAACTTCTAGAGGCAAGTCGTTCCACTGATTAACTGTTCTGTCAAGGAATTTCTCCTTAGTTTTAACTGCTTCTCTCCTTGATTGGTTTCCATCTGTTGCTTCTTGTCCTGCCTTCAGGTGCTTTGGAGAATAGGTTGATCCCGTCTTCTTTGTGGCAGCCCCTGAGATATTGGAAGATGCTATCTACATGAGTCAGCAGTGTGCAGCAGCAGCCAAAAAAGCTAATACAATCCCTGGTTGTACAAACAGAGGCAGAGAACCAAAATCATGTGAAGGATTAGCACTGCTTTATAAATGCTTAGTAAGGCCACACTTGGAATATTGCATCCAGTTTTGCTTACCACATTACAAAAAAGACTTTGGGAAAAAGTGCAAAGAAGAGCAATTAAAGGCCTGGAGACAAAAACGTATGAAGAACGGTTGCAGGAATTGGATATGGCCAGTCTAGAGAAAAGGAGGACTTGGGGGTGACATGATCGCAGTATTCCAATATTTGAGGGGCTGCCACAAAGAAGAGGGGGTCAAATTATTTTCCTGAGCACTAGAAGGCCAGGCAAGAAACAATGGATGGAAACTAACCAAGGAGAGAAGCAACCTGGAATTAAGGAGAAACTTTCTAACAGTGAGAACAATTAATCAGTGGAAAAGCTTGCAAATAGAATAGAAGAGAAGAGAAAACATGGAATGGAAGAATAGAATAGAATAGAATAGAATAGAATAGAATAGAATAGAATAGAATAGAATAGAATAGAATAGAATAATGAAAGAATGGAACAGAACAGAATAATGAAAGAATAGAATAGAATAGAATAGAATAGAATAGAATAGAATAGAATAGAATAGAATAGAATAGAATAGAATAGGAATAGAGTAAAGAAATAGAATAGAATAGAATAGAATAGAATAGAATAGAATAGAATAGAATAGAATAAGAGAAGAGAAGAGAAGAGAAGAGAAGAGAAGAGAAGAGAAGAGAAGAGAAGAGAAAATATGGAATGGAAGAATACAACATAACAGAACAGAACAGAATAATGAAAGAATAGAGTAGACGAGACGAGACGAGAGGAGAAGAGAAGAGAAGAGTTGGAAGGGACCTTGGAGGTCATCTAGTCCAACCCCCCACGCAAGCAGGAGACCCTATACCATTTCTGACAGATGGCTGTCCAGTCTCTTCTTGAAAGCCTCCAGTGATGAAGCACCCACAACATCTGAAGGCAGTCTGCATTGGAGGCTTTCAACAAGAGATAGGACAGCCACCTGTCTGAAATGGTATAGGGTCTCCTGCTTGAGCAGGGGGCTGGACTAGAAGACCTCCAAGGTCCCTTCCAGTTCTATTCTGATTGATACTCCTTCTTTTCATGAAAGAAAGCTGGGGGAATGGAAGAGAGTGACATCATCTGTAATCTGCATGGCGCAAATGCTATCATTTTTGCAGGGACGTTATGACCAGGTAGGTGACATCACTGTAGCTTACGCTAGTCACTGATGGTTGAGAATTAGAATTAGAATAACAGAGTTGGAAGGGATCCTGTAGGTCATCTAGTTCAACCCCCTGCCCAAGCAGGAGACCTTACACCATTTCTGACAGATGGCAGTCCAGTCTCTTCTTTAAATGAATAGAATAGAGTTGGAAGGGACCTTGGAGGTTTTCTAGTCCAGCCCCCTACTCAAGCAGGAGAACCTACACCATCTCAGACAAATGATTGTCTAGTCTCTCCTTAAAAACCTCCAGTGATGGAGCGCCCACGATTTCTGGAGGCAAGCTGTTCCACTGGTTGATTGTCCTCACTGTCAGGAGGTTTCTCCTTATTTCCAGGTTGCTTCTCTCTTTGATCAGTTTCCATCCATTATTCCTTGAGTGAGGCTAGGAGAAATTGAAGTTGAGACTCAAGTACTTCGGCCACCTAATGAGAAGGAAGGACTCACTGGAGAAGAGCCTGATGCTGGGAAAGATGGAGGGCAAGAGAAGAAGGGGACGACAGAGAATGAGGTGGCTGGATGGAGTCCCTGAAGCAGTAGGCGTGAGCTTCAATGGACTCCAGGAGATGGTAGAGGACAGGAAGGCCTGGAGGAACGTTGTCCATGGGGTCGCGATGGGTCGGACACGACTTCACAACTAACAACAACAACAAGGAAAATAATCTGGAAAAGCAAAGGCTAAAAAGCCCACCAAACTTCTACCTTCTTTTGACCGAATAACTAAAATATACCAGGACACATTTTTACTTTCTATCTTTTCAAGCTTCCACAAAGTATAATGAGAACAGATCAGGATTATTTGACAATTAAATTGTATTGTGCAATGTGCCCTTCCCCCCCCTCTTTTTTTGTATGCTCTGAGTTATATTTCAGGACAAATTAGAAAATCACAAAACTTTTACTAGAAAAGAAGCAACAGAATTTATCTTTCTGTCTGTCTGTCTATCTATCTATCTATCTATCTATCTATCTATCTATCTATCTATCTATCCATCCATCCATCCATCCATCCACCTACGTATCTACCTACCTACCTACCTATCCATCTACCTACTTGTCTGAATAGGACAGGAGGTCTGGAGGAATATTGTCCATGGGGTCGCGATGGGTCGGACACAACTTTGCAATTAACAACAACAACAAGGAGAAATGTTAGAAATTTCTCTTACATGTCCAAAGGGATCCAGGTGATTGTTGGTGAGTTTTAGCTTCTGGAAAGACACCAGTTGTCGCATCCAATGGGTTCCGGTGGCTGGAGAGTCGGGGTGAACATATAATCGTCCAGGCATCGCAGGTTCAGCTTTTCCAGCCACCATCCTATGTGCAAAATATAAGAAGTTAAATTTCCCTGCCTCTAGCAGATAGTCCTTGACTTACGACCACAGTTGAGCTCAAAATTTCTGTTGCTAAGTGAGACCTTTGTTCAGTGAGCCTGGTCCCCAATTTGCGACCTTCCTTGCCACCGTGGTTAAGTTGGTAACATGGTTGTTAAGTGGATCTGGCTTCCCCCATTGACTTTGTGCAGGTTGTGTTGCAACAGCCGTATGGTTGTGTCCATTTAAATAATGAATATTGTTCAGCAATCAAAAGCTAATGTTGGTACTCCTCGGCTCAGGACCACAACTGAACCCAAAATTTCTGTCACTAAGCGAGACGTTTGTTAAGTCTGCTTTGCCGCCATTTGCGATCTTCCTTGCCACTGTTGTTAAGCGAATCACTGCAATTAAGTGAGTCACATGGTCGTTAAGTGAATCTGGCTTTCCCCATTGACTTTGCTTGTCAGAAGGTCACAAAAGAGCGGGGGTCTTCAAACATGGCCCTTTGATGACTTGTGGACTTCAATTCCCAGAATTCCTCAGCCAGCTGAGGTCCTGCCACAAAATTCCCTACAGTTATGTCAATTGTGCTATTCATCACTTACCACTTGTTATCACAGAATTTGTATCGATGGTCGTCGGCGGGGACGATATCAATCAGCAAGATGTACTTAGTCTTGGGGTTCATGCCGGTCACTTTCACTTTGTAGCTTGGAAACATCCTCCTTATGGGAAGGATGAAAGAAAGGAGGATGAGGAGGGGATGGGGATGGAGAAGGAGATGGGGGGAAAGAGGGAGGAGGAGATAGAGATGGAGATGGAGAGGGAGAGAAGGAAGAAGAAGAAGAAGAAGAAGAGGAAGAGGAAGAGGAAGAGGAGGAGGAGGAGGAGGAAGAGGAGGAGGAGAATCAACATTAGACACACTAAAAAACAAATCAGATTATAGATCATCTTTCTGTGACTTCATTGGGATTATCATTCCCAGAATTTCTACATCATCAACTTCTATAGCAGTGTTTCTCAACCTTGACAATTTTAAGGCATGTGGACTTCAACTCCCAGAATTCCACAGCCAGCATTCCTGGCTGTGGAATTCTGGGAGTTGAAGTCCACATGCCTTAAAATTGTCAAGGTTGAGAAACACTGTTCTATAGCAACTGTAAAGAAAAAAAAAGCCCGTTGGGGCAGGAGATCAAAAAGGTCTGGCAAATGAAGTCACACACACCTTTTAGGGTAATGCATATGCGAGACATTAAAAAGCAGTGAGGCTTTGGTCATACAGTTATGGTCACTTATCTTGACTTTTCTGCCTCACCCCCCCCCACCCCAGTTACCACTGCTGGGATGTTTTAGCTTCCCCCATCATACATCTGAAAAACACACAGGTGGAGAAGTCTGTTTAGACCGCCTTCAAACCTTGAGAGAAAAACATTCATGGGATCCAGCTGGGTGATTTTGGGCCAATCACCAGGTGATGTTGAGTTCTAGTCCCACATAGGCATGAAAGCCATCTGGGTGATTCTGGGCTGTTTACCAGAAGACTGGGAGTTCTAGTCCAGTTTTAGTTCATGAAAGCCAGCTGTGTGGCTTTGGGCCAATCACCAGGAGATGGTGAGTTCTAGTCCACTTAGGCATGAAAGCTGGCTGGGTGACTTTGGATCAGTCATGGTCTCTTAGCCCAGCCTATCTCACTGGATTGTTGTTGAGGGGAAAATAGGAGGAGAAAGGTGTGTTAGATATGATCACCACTTTGAGTTATATATAAAGATAATAAAGGAGGGAAATAAATAGATAACAAGGAACATTCATCACAAGGACAATTGATATGCCCAAAGAAGACAAAGCAGAGGTCAAACCACAGTGACATGCAATCACAATTGAATTGTAGACTTCTTACTCTCTTTTTTTAAAAAAAAGTTTTTATTTTCCATTTATTCATCATACAAAATACAAAATACAATTTACAAAATGAAATAAATTCATGACTATTGGTACCGCCTGCCCATTCCCCCCCAGGCTGCGTCCACTCTCTCTAAACTTTCCCTACTTCCCTCCTCTTTCTTTCCTCCCCTCCTACTCTCTCCCCTCCCCTTCTCCTCTTACCATCCTACTTCCTCCCTACACCTTCCTCCCTTCTTACTCTCAAGGAGTGGCTATTTTTAGTCAATCTTTGTATTTGGAATTTCAGCTGGCCTTTTTCTTGTCTTCCTCTCTATCGTCCACTTTGCCCTCTGCCCTGAAAACTCAGCCTCCTGACAATGGGCATTCTCAAAACTTAATGTGCAATGAAAACGGCCATCTTGATTTTTTTGACACCTTCCGTGCAGTAAACAGTGATTGCTTACTCCCTAGTGACAAAATGGTATGCTTTTAAAAGGCCCCTGAAGTGCTGCTTCTAACAGCCTATGTACAGCTAATCCTCTTTTACCAACTGCCTCATTCAGCAACTGTTCAGAGTTACAATGGTGATGAAAAAAACCTTTCTAACTAATACCTGCATTAATAATAATAACAATAATAAATACAAAGACTTACAAATACAAATAGAAAGACTGTGGCAAAAGCAAGCAAGGGTGGTACCAATAGTAATAGGCGCCTTGGGTGCAATCCCAAAACAACTGGAGCACCACTTGAACATCATTGGCATTGACAAATTCGCTATTAGTCAATTGCAAAAGGCGGCCTTACTAGGAACTGCTTCCATCCTGCGACGATATCTGTAATACCATCAAACATCCACGCCTGCCTATCCCAGGTCCTTGGGAAGGACTCAATAGGTAGACAAAATGCCAAATCCAGTCTGAACATTTGGCTGACTGTGCGATGATCAATAATAATAATAGTAATAGTAGTAGTAGTAGTAGTAGTAGTAGTAGTAGTAGTAGTAGTAGTAGTAAAGTTGGAAGGGACCTTGGAGGTCATTGAGTCCAACCCCCTGCTCAGGCAGGAAACCCTATAGCATTCCAGACAAATGGCTGTCCAGTCTCTTCTTAAAAACTTCCAGTGTTGGAGTATTTGAAATTTAGCTCAGTCTCTGTCCTTCCAGCCAGGGTGTTGATTTCTTTTCAGAGTGACTGATTAGACACCCTTAGACACGCAACTGCAAAAGTACACTTCCATATATTAATTTTGCTGTGCGATTTGAGACCCTCCCCCCACCAAAAAGAGAAGAAGGGGGGGAAGCGGAGAAAAGAAAGTGCAGCGCTGTACTCAATTTTTAAGGCTGTGATTTTTTTTCCCCCTTGCCATTTGTGTTATTTGAAACTAAGGTTTAGAAAACCGTTCTAAAAATCATGTGCACACAAGGACCCACACACAGACGGGCAGACGCAAAGTTTGTTCAGTACAATTATAAACAGTGCGCTGGAAGATTGCACAAGGATATTTATGAGAGCCGCGTTAGAACAGCTTCCTCTCTCTTTTACCAGCCCGGCCCTGTCCAAACCGAAGGGCATTCAAAGCTACTAAAGGAGCCAACATCTGAAATATTGTAAATGTTAAGTGCTTTTTAATGGCATTTAAAATTAAGCTTCAGCATATGGACTTCATACGGAAGAGACAAGTCGGAGTTAATAATGTTCTGTAGAAGAGGGCTGTAAAATAAATAGTGCAAGCCGAAGTCCGACCGTAATATATACAACTGAAATTCTTTTCGGCAGAACAAATGAGAATCCTGCGTCTTAACCCAGGTGTCATTTAAGCTGCGAGCTGCGCCGCAACAGCTTTGAATAACATGGACTGTCACAAATCAGGATTGGTCAACTGCCCAGAGCAGGGGTAGGCCACCTTGGCTCTTGTATGATTCGTGGACTTCAACTCCCAGAATCCCTGAGCCAGCCATGCTGAGGAGAAATGGAGAGATTAACATGCTGAGCCATGCCGGCTCAGGAATTCTGGGAGTTGAAGTCTGCGAGTCATAAAAGGCCAAGTTTGAAGACCCTTGCCCTAGACCAGGGGTAGGCAACCTTGGCTCTTTTATGACTCATGGACTTCAACTCCCAGAATTCCTGAGCCAGCCATGCTGAGGAGAAAGGGAGAAGTTTCCATGCTGAGCCATCCTGGCTCAGGAATTCTGGGAGTTGAAGTCCATGAGTCATAAAAAAGAGCCAAGGTTTCCTACCTCTGGCCTAGAGGCACCTGCCCAATTTTCCCCTCCTTTTCCAGGAGGGGAGGGGAAAAAAGCATCTTGGAGGGATCCCCACCTCCCACCTCTCAGGTTTTAGCTCATGGCCATTTCATCATCCTGATGAAAATCAGGCTTATCAGATGCTATATTTTTTTCTATCCTGCTCTATGGAGTAGAGAGTTGGTCTCTGACAGAAGGCCACCTGAAGAGACTAGAAGTATTTGAAATGTGGATTTACAGGCGGCTGTTACGTATAAGCTGGGTTGACAAGATCAGAAATGAGGAGGTGATCAGCCGCCTGGGAAAGCCAAGGGAAATCATCAAAACAAAAAACGAAAATTAGAATATTCTGGACATGGGAAGCGACACCCAGAAAAATACGGCATACTCCATTTAATCCTCCAGGGAAAGACTGAAGGCAAACGAGGTCCAGGCAGAAGAAGAACATCGTGGCTTCAAAATCGAAGGGACTGGTTTGGACAAAACTCAGCAGCACTTTTTCGTGCGGCTGCTGATAAAAACAGGATCGTCAACATGATCTCCAATGTCCCATAACGGATATGGCACAAAAAGAAGAAGAAGATAGGCTGGTGTGTTTTTAGGCATGCAAGCAACAGGACGGAGGGGGGGGGGAATTCCAACATTGTCATTGTATTCATAAAGCAGGTATAGCTGGGAGGTGCAACCAAAACCTTGGAGGGAGGGGTGGAGAGGGAAAGGAAGGGAAGGGAGAGACAGGGGAAAGTGATAAGGCAAGGGGAAGGGATAGGGAAAGGCGAAGGGGAAGGGAGAGAGGAAGAGGAAGAGGAGAGAAGAAGGGGAAGAGGAAGGGAGAGGGGAAGGGGAAGGGAGAGGGGAAGGAAGGAAGAAAAAGAAGGGATGGAAGGAAAGAAGGAAGGAAGGAAGGAAGGAAGGAAGGAAGGAAGGAAGGAAGGAAGGAAGGAAGGAAGGAAGGAAGGAAGGAAGGAAGGAGACAGGGAACATCATGCTTGAAGGGAGTGAGATTTGCTTCGTGCTTATATATAAAGGGATTGCTGTGTCAGTGTTGCTGGAAGAGTTCTTGATGCTTCCTTGATTGTGTTGTTTACTGCTTGATTGTTTTGTCTAGTCTAATGAAGAGCAGGATGAGGGGGGACATGATAGCAGTGCTCCAATATCTCAGGGGCTGCCACAAAGAAGAGGGAGTCAAGCTATTCTCCAAAGCACCAGAAGGCAGGACAAGAAGCCATGGATGGAAACTATTCAAGGAGAGAAGCAACCTAGAACTAAGGAGAAACTTCCTGACAGTGAGGACAATTAACCAGTGGAACAACCTGCCTCCAGAAGCAGTGAATGCACCAACGCTGGAAGTTTTTGAGAAGAGACTGAACAGCAATTTGTTTGAAATGGTATAGGAGGTTGGACTAGGTGACCTCCAAGGTCCTTTCCAACATCATCATCATCATCATCTTTATTATTATTATTATTATTGTTGTTGTTGTTGTTGTTATTATTATTATTATTCATTAGATGTGAACCTCAGTTAACTAAACATTCAGATTGACTGGCGCTGATGGTTGCTACCAGCATCCTAAGTATCAACAAGGTACCTCCTTAAAA